CTGGATGAGCCAGTGCTGCGGGCACGAGGCACTGTCACCGCAAGCACAGGGGTGCTTTGTGTGTGCCGGTGGCTGCTGGAATGGAAACCCATGTGCCGTGTGATTGGCAGGTTTCCCTTTTGTAATAAAACCTGACTTTTATCTCATGCTGATTAATATGAGCGGCCCGTGCGAGTTCAGCTGGAAAAGGCTGTTTCAGCTCCAAGAGGCCCGTGGCCAAAGCTCTAGGCACTGTCACCGCAAGCACAGGGGTGCTTTGTGTGTGCCGGTGGCTGCTGGAATGGAAACCCATGTGCCGTGTGATTGGCAGGTTTCCCTTTTGTAATAAAACCTGACTTTTATCTCATGCTGATTAATATGAGCGGCCCGTGCGAGTTCAGCTGGAAAAGGCTGTTTCAGCTCCAAGAGGCCCGTGGCCAAAGCTCTGCGTGTGGGGATGCCCCGGCTCGTTGTGCTCCCCACCCGGGCGCGGGCGGCTGCGGGGCAGGAGGGGCTGCACTGGACGGGCGGGCGCTGACAGCAGCGAGTGGCTGCTTGTCTTTGGAAAACAGCTCCTGTCGTTTGGCCCCAAAAGAAGGTTTCCCAGGGGAGTTGTTGGGGGATGGGGGGAGACACCAGAGATGATCCCAGGGTTGTCTTTGTGATTCAGGCTTTGAGAAGGCGGGAACAAGGCTGCGTCCAGGGCACCATCCCAGGAGGGGAGCTGTGGAGAAGACGTTGCAAAAAGGAGTAGCAAACGCTGTCCACTGTCTCCTTTCTAGGGATCAAAACTGGGAAATGTGTGATGTTCAACACCACCCGTTCCACCTGTGAGATCTATGGCTGGTGTCCGGTGGAGAACGCCACCCTGCCCAGGTGAGGCGCGGGACAGCAGGCTGTGCGAGCTTTGACTGCTTTCCTCTGGGCAACCAGGGGCCTGATCACACCTGCCCGAGGGGCAGCCAGGCTTGGGGAGACCTTTGACGTTGATCTACCAGTCAGTTAAGCCCAGAGAACTTCATGCAAGAGCGTTTCTTGCAACTGTCCCTTGTAGCCAAGGTCCCGGGGTTGTGGAAGGGGCTGCAAAGCGCGGGGAGAGGGGAGGCGCCTTGGCCTGTGCGGGGTTTGAGTTCATTGGTGGTTGTTTTCCAGGAAACCTCTTCTGGCTGAGGCAGAGAATTTCACTCTTTTTATAAAAAATACTGTCCACTTCACCAAATTTAACTTCTCCAAGTAAGTGTGATGTTCCTCCGGCCGGACCGTGCCTGCAGCTGCGTCCAGCCTCTGCGCTGAGCGTCTCTGTTGGGGGCTGAGCAGCCAGGGTGTCCCCGAAGCCACGGGCCACCCAGGAGGGTGGTGGATCGGGCGGTTACGGTTCAGGATGGTGTGTTCAGGAGAACACTGGTCACTTCAGCGACACCTGTGTTTGCAGGTGTAAGGGTGGTGGGATGGGGAGCCCTCAGAGAGCGGCGCTGGTGTCCCTCTGCCCATCTAGAGCGCTGCAGGCAGAGCCGGACAAGGCTAGTCATTCCCTATGTCTCCTTTTATCCCATGTTTTTTTGCATTGTAGTCCCTGCAGAATGGTTTCACAGAGGCCCAGTAAAGGGCTGCACTGTCCCCCCCAACCCCAGGCGTGCTGCCTGGGCAGCTGAACTGCCCCTGCTGTCACCCCCAGAGCGCTCGCTGCAGCTGGGAGCGGTGGGAGCTGGATGCCAGGGAGAAAAGGAGAAGCACAAAGGTGGAGGAGAGGAGCTGGGAGGGGAGGGACCATGGCAGGTGCTGTGATAACTCTGTATGTGGTTCCTCTGGGCCGGTTTCCCTCCACCCTCTCTCCAACGGCAGCTTTAGGAGAGGCAACGACTGCCTCCTGCCAAAGCAGGAGCTTTAGTGGTCCCAGCCAGCGGGAGGGTCTTATTTTCAGTCCTGCAGCAGGGCTCCCTGACCTCCCACGCCCATCACAGCTCCCCCTCCCTCTCTCCTGTCTCAGGTGCAATACTTTGCAAACCAGTGACCCCACCTATTTCAAGAGCTGCACGTACGATCCGGTCTTCAACCCCTCCTGCCCCGTTTTCCGTGTCCGTGACATGGTGGAGGCAGCTGGAGAGACCTTTGGAGACCTTGCACTGCTGGTACTTGTTCTTTTAAAAGCGGGGAGGATGACTCCAAATTCCCCGAGGGTGTGGGGTGGGAGACAGGACTGACCCCTGAAATGCTGAGGGAATGTGTGATCTGTGAGTGTCTGAGCCATGAGGAGCTCAGCGCAGCACGTCTCTGATCCCGTACTTCTCCCGCGGTAACGTGTGTTTTGCAGGGGGGGAGCATTGGAGTTCGCATCGAGTGGGACTGCGACCTGGACCGCCCCGCTGCCCGCTGCCAGCCGCAGTACTCCTTCAGCCTGCAGGGCAGGAGGTACAATTTCAGGTGAGGGTGCTGGGCCAGGGGCCACAGGAGCGCACGGCGGTTGCCCCAGGTCTCGGTTTTCCGGCCGGGCGCAGCGCAGGGCGCAGCAGGGACAGCTCAGCGCAGGCTCTGCCCGTACCGGTGTGCCGCAGTGGGTCCCGCACCTCGTAGCTCTGCTCCGTTCGGTGCTGTGCAGGGCACGATCTGCCTGAGGGCAGGGGCGCATGCCTGTCCCCACCCTGAACTGGGCGCACTGGGAGCTGTGTGCTCCCGGTGACCCCGGCCTGGGTGCTGAGTGGACGCTGACGCCCCACTGCTGCTGGTGAGTCGCGGCAGCACCTGCGTCGCCCACGTCCCAGCGGCCTGGAGGGC